TAAGTTACATTTGAGTCACATGTTTAGCACCATGGGTGGCTGAACATGTGCCACTCAAATTAACCCTAAATGACTCTCAAATCACACCTAAATGCACCTTGGTACCTAAATTTTCGGACTTACACATGTGCACCAAAGTTTGAATTCAAATTTCAAATTTGAATTCAAACTTTAGGCGCCAATTTGTGTAGCTTTGGTTTAGGTGCCTATGTGCTTCATTTCCGTGCATACTTAAGTCCTCCCTTCACATTTTTGTATTCACTTTTGAGAATAATGAAATTTGAGAGCTTATTCAGCCAAATTTCGTTCAAGAGTCACCATGAGAGAAAGCTTCACCTTAGGAACCCTTCTAGGATTTCCTCCTCTTTGAAGTGAGCTTTCCCTTGCACCTTAAGCTTGGATGCTTCCATCCAAGGCTTAAGCCTTCTTTCTATCCGAGAATCTCCTCCATATAGTGTTCATCACGTTGGTTTCTATTTCCTTGAAGAAGATCCGAGCAAAGGAAAAGATTAAGGAGAAGAACACCTACCACTTCTCCTAACCTTCTCCATCAACAAGTCAATGGAATGGAATGAAGAATGTCAACAAGCCTTTGATAGGATTAAAACAATGCTTGGTAAACCCACTAGTGTTAGTACCCCCTATCGAAGGAAGACCTCTAATCATGTATCTCACAGTGCTTAAGGACTCCATGGGATGTGTGCTAGGATAGCAAGACAAAACTAAAAATCAAGAAAGGGTTGTATATTATCTAAGCAAGAAATTCACCGATTATGAAACGAGATATTCGCCCCTTGAGAAAACCTATTTCGCTTTACTATGAGCTTCCCAACGACTAAGACAGTACATTTAAGGCATACCACATGGTTGGTATCTAGAATGGATCCCATCAAGTATCTATTCGAAAAACCTATGCTCATCGGAAGGATTGCCAGATAAAAAGTGCTATTGTCCGAATATGACATCACCTATACCACTTAAAAGGCAATCAAGGGCAGCACCCTAGCAGGTTACCTAGCACACGACCCAACGGACGAATATCACTCTTTACAAGATGGGTTCCGAAATGAATAAGTCTTAGCCTTAGATGATGAAAAAGAGGGGCAAGTTGATGGCGAAACCTGGACCATGTTCTTTGACGGTGCCTTAAACTTGATGGGGCATGGGATAGGCGTCATTCTAATGTCATCCCAAGGAAAGCACATCTCAATAACACGACTGGACTTCAACTGCACAAACAATATGGCTGAATATGAAGCTTGCATATTGGTACTTCACATCACTCTTGATAATTGTATCACAAAATAGAAGTCTACAGCAATTCTACCTTGGTAATATGCCAGTTGAAGGAATAATGGGAGACCAAGGACTCCAAGTTGATCTCATATTGGGAATGTGACAAAAGTTTAGTGACTCAATTCAAGTCTATCACTTTTGAACATACACCAAGGAAAGGGAGTCAATTTCCAGATGTTTTGGCTTATCTCCTCCAAGGATTGGCACCTCTTGAAGAGTGTTCTACACCAAACCATTGGTGTAATCCAAAAGCTTCTCATCCATTGGAGGCTTTGGGAAAAGCTTAAGGAGAATCAAGGAGCCAAAGGTCTAGGGAGGAACTTGAAGAGGAATCAACATCAATATGGTTCCAAAACAAGTTTTCCATCATTTGGTATCAGAGCTTTGGCTTTGGGAAAAATACATTATCTTAGGGCTCTCATAGAAACTCAAACAATTCAAGATCCACAAGTTAGGTTCAATACACAAAATTAAACATAAATATCATCAATTAGACAAATGAAGAATCATATAGAAGATTAAATTTAAGGAACAAATACAAATTGAGTTTCCACCTCATACAATGCATATAACAAAAAAGAAATTGGGGACTAATCTCACCATCCAACAATTATCCTATGTCTAGAGCTAGATTACTTATTCCTCCGTACCTCAATGAAAGTTTGATGAAGGATGTGGATCTCTAAGATGTTCTCCTACGAGCTTTAGTTCTCTTTCCCATTCTTCAGAGTGTATGCCTAAGATGAAAAATGAGAACCGTAAATAAAATAGCTATCGTAACCTCCTTTTTAAAATCTTAACACACACTTAACCCTTTAGTAAAAATAATTTAACCATAATTCTCTTTTTCTTTCTCTCAAATATTAAAACTTATAAATAAATAGTATATCACATAAACCTATTTTTTCCAACCCACATAATTATAACAAAAGACAATAATTAATAATTAACAAATATATCTACACAAATATATGAAAGAAATACTTCTTTCCGTAATCATTTTTCTTTTCCATAATTTATGGACAATTAAACCCTCAATTATTAAGAAAAAATAAATAATTTTAGTAACCACTATTAATCAATTGAATAATCGTTCACACCATTATTATTTTTGTTTATTTTACTTTTAAAAATATTTGGAGGCATGAAGTACCTCTTTCCCCAATAATATATAAAATAAATATATTTCTCCCAACACTGTTATAATTAAAATAAAATATTTAAATATTAAAAAATTATAATAAGAATATGTTTTTCTCTAAATACCTATTATAACAAAATATCATAAAAATACATATTTTTCTAATAAATATTATGCAAAATATCACAATATATATATATATATATATATATATAATACAAAATATCACAATATATATATATATATATATATATATATATATATATAATTCAAACATCACATATAACGCACATAATTACTCACTCATTCAACTTCTCATATATTCACCAAAAATCCAATATATTAGGATTCCCATAGGAACTCAAACAATTCAAGATCCACAAGTTTGGTTCAATACACAAAATTAAACATAAATATCATCAATTAGAGAAATGAAGAATCATATAGAAGATTAAATTTAAGGAACAAATACAAATTGAGTTTCCCCTTCATCAATGCTTATAACAAAAAAGAGATTGGACATCAATCTCACCATCCAACAATTATCCTACGTCTAGAGCTAGATTACTCACTCCTCCATACCTCAATGATAGCTTGATGGAAGGATGTGGATCTCTAAGATGTTCTCCTAGAAGCTCTGGTTCTCTTTCCCATTTTTCAAAGTGTATGCTTAAGATGAAAAATGAGAAGCGTAAATAAAACAACTATTATAACCTCCTTTTTAAAAACTTAACACACACTTAACCCTTTAGTAAAAATAATTTAATCATAATTCTGTTTTTCTCTCCCTCAAATATTAAAACTTATAAATAGATAGTATATCACATAAACATATTTCTCCCAACCCAAATAATTATAACAAAATACAATAATTAATAATTAACAAATATATCTACACTAATATATAAAGGGAATACTTTCTTAGTAATCATTTTTCTTTTCCATAATTTATGGACAACTATACCCTCAATTATTAAGAAAAAATAAATAATTTTAGTAACCACTGTTAATCAACTGAATAACCATCAACACTATTATTTTTTTATTTGTTTTACTTTTAAAAATATTTAGAGGCATGAAGTACCTCTTTCCCCAGTAATATATAAAATAAATATATTTCTCCCAACATTATTATAATTAAAATAAAATATATAATCATTAAAAAATTATAATAAAAATATATTTTTCTCCAAATACCTATTATAACAAAATATCATAAAAATACATATTTTTCTAATATATATTATTCAAAACAATTTTTATAAATATTTTATTATTTAATTAAAATACTCATAATTATTAAAAGTCTCTAAAATATTTTATAGAATCCTTTAATTAATCAAAATACCTATTTAATAATTTTAGAAAATTTGGAATGTTACACTGAAGTGTGAGTACAATGTTTTGGCCATACAAGAGATGACGTTGTTTGGTGGATGTTGATTTGAAAAAAGTTAGTTAGATGTTGTATATATATGTACATGATTTTTTTGTAATCCCAATAACAAGTTTTATGTTTTCAAGTTGTTATAAGTAGAGACTATTTTATGCTTTCTACTCCTATACATATATTGTTGCATAAATATTTGGATACTACTTGCATGAAAATCCTAGGATAAGAGACCTTTATATTTTTCCAATGCTTAATTGTTGTACTATAGTAAATGTAGTGATTTATTGGGTCATTACACTCTTTGCTTCACTATTCAACTTAATATCATCAAAAGATTAATATAATTCCAATAAAGTCAATCTTAAATGAGGTTCTTGAAATTTAATTATAACTTTAATACTTTTAATTCAACTCTCTAAATGAGTATTAGACAAAAATTTCGCAATTAATACATGAATAGTATAAAGTAAAACCTTCCATCTTTTTTTTTAGAACTCAAAAATAATGAATATATGAATTAAACAATTTGAAAAAAAGAAACAACTTTCACACAAAAATGTGTCTTATCACTAAGAGTAAGATCAAGATTATGACAAACACAATATATATATATATATATATATATATATATATAATGCTTTCCAATTTATTTCCAAAAATCACTTTTAAACTTCTTAATGTTTTTCCTTCCCATTAGAACCATTATTATAACCTTCATCCCTCACATCACAACATCAACATCAAGAGATTTCAACAAATCTTATAATTCATTAACAATCTTTTTTATTTTTCATGTAATTTTCCCATAACACGTGTAATTTTACTTTGTCATAGTTACTCAACTAATTTCTAAATAAAATTTTGATGATTTTGAGAATTTAAATTTGTACATAAGCTGTTATATTATATAACTTCAAAAATGGTTTTTAAGAAGAAAAAAACAAACAAACAAAAAACAACGCCCAAACATAAAGTTGTCCTCTAAGTCAACCCCTTCACAATTTGTAGCAATGGACATTGGCCTACATATTTTCTACGAATCGGGTAACATGAGGTTTCTAATTTTTCATTCACAGGGATAGAAGATGTGATTTTTTTACGTCCTTCACTATGACTCAATGTCCCATTAGTACATTTTGAATAGACGATGCAGCTTGGCCAACAGGAAAATAGAAAAACCAATTATTCCATAATTCATATCACAAGAGAATTACAGTTATAAAGCAACAAATCATCAATGTGCAGGAGGGGTTGACTCATCTATGATCTAGTGATGACAAGAATTTGAATTTGCCACCGACAATTTGCAATTTGTGATCACAATGATCTTAGTTGTATAAAAGCATAAAACCATCAAAATCCTAGTTCTCAGCCTAAATAATTGGCCTTCTCTTCTTTCAATAATAAAATGAAAACTAGTATATTTTCGAAGTGTTATTTGCTCAACCAATTTTGGTCTCGCCCTATGCCACCTAGCTAACCGCAAGCTGCAACGACTGCATCAGGCAAATGGGCAAATACAATAGAGAAAGGATCAACCCTTATTGGCTCTGATGAATTCACATATAGAGGCTCCAAAGAAGGAATATCACCATCTGAGTTTACACTTAGAGCGTTTCCATTTAGTACCATGATTTGGCTATGTAAATCCCCACCCTGTGGAGTTAGATGGTACTCTTCTCTGGATGTTACACTTGCAGCAGGTAGTTCCATCATTTCTGAATGACTAGACATCTTTCTGTGCCTCAAACTCTTGGCATTGTTGTTGAAAGTCACTTCAGCTTCAACAGTTGTGCTGCTGTCCAGGTTGATCAATAGTACTGTGATTCCTTTCTGTAAGATAGAGTATTAAATCAGGTTTCTTAGATAGCATGTTTGAGTGTCTCTTTATGGTCTTGTTTGGATAAAGTTTCCAATAAGTACTTACAGAAGTCATCTTATTTTAGTTTAACTTCTCCAGAGGTTGATTTTACTTCATAAGCTAATTTTAACTTATTGGAGAAGCTTAATTATTTGTCTTATAATTTTCTTCTTCTATAAGCGATGTTTATTGAGAAGTTTATCCATATTGGCCCCATATATGTATCCAAATCAATGATAAAAAAAAAAAAAAAAAAGTACACTCACAGATTGCTTTGCACAGTGTGCATAAGCTCGTATCTTTTTTGTCCCGGAGAAGGTAGTTGAGAGTACATTTCTTCCCATGAGTCGGTGCCAAAGAAGAGCACTGCAAAGAAGAAAGCACATTACCGCATAAACATCCTATACTGTGGATCTATTTTAAATGGGGGTCCCCTTATTGTATTATTGGAAATGGGGTCCTTATCAAATTAGTCAAAACTGTACATCAAGCAATTAATGAAACAAACATGACACATGTTGATTCATATCAGCTCAGGAAGAATGATACATCAATGAAGTATACTAAGCAGATGAGGGTCCAGAATTATGCTCCCCATTCATCAACAAGGAAATTGGGAACTGAAAATTGCGTGTCTCCCTTGCAAATTGGTCTTATAACTTATCTTCCATCCCATGACTTTAGCAAGGAAAATATGACAATGAAATTCAACAGTTAGTATACCTATAGTAGTCTGGATTTGGCTGGAAATTGGTGGTATTGAGTAAACCATAGTTTCCTCCTATCAAAGTCTGTCTGCAATATGTTTTAGTGTCATAAGCAGCTGACATGCCAAGCTGATCCAAATACCTGATTGAGATATGATAACATTAGACGAAATAATTGAAAGGAAGCCCAATTGGTATCTGAATCAAGGGGAGTTGGCACTAACCAGAAACTGTATACAAATGCATCAGATACAAGATGATGGCCACTATTGTAAGCCCCTCCTGACTCACCAACCCATGCTGTTGCTGAGGTACCTGTACTTGCAAGTAGGTCTTTGAGTCCTTTGAATGTGCTTGCCTCTCCATCAAGATAGGAAGGATCCAGAATTTTTTCCACAAGGTGGTCATCAACTCCTGTATATTAAGATAATGTAGCCTTCAAATATAATCAAATTCATGGGAATTGGGACATCATAAGGAATATTAGCTTGATTGGTGAAGGGTACCTGGTCCAAGGTTATAAATGTGATGGGTGATCACATCCAAAGATTTTCCAGATTTGCTTATAAATTCTTTGAACCAATTGGCATCAAAGAAACCTCCTGGTGCAATGACTAATGGTTTAGCTTCAACCTCTCTATATGCATCGTCAACTATGTGTCGTAAAGCAGTAAGATCAGACGCATATTGATCTGCTGTAACGCTTGTTCCAACTCCATTCCCACTCAATTCATTGCCTGCCATTGACAACAGCTCAATATGGTTAGTTATAGTTATTTCCAGAGGGAAATTGTAAATTTTATTTCTATTAAAAAAATAATTGAACAACATAACATCTTCATATCAACATTAGCATTTGTCGGTTTGAGCCTGATTAGATACAAACATAAGAGCGCTTTTGAGAGTTTTTTTTATTGAAAAATACTCTTTTTCTTCAATAGAGAAGTTCTAAAAAAACACTTCTAGACTGTATTCAAACATATTCTTTCTTAATAAAGATCACGTTTTACAATTTCTCTTCTCGTACAATGGCACATAATAGTAATACTTTGGTACATAGTTACTATTAAGAAGGGAATTTTGGAACATAACACATCTTTACAAAATCGACTTAAGGTGAGAACTGGACATCTGCAAGTGGTATGGGATCAACTTGATAAGCCCAATAAGTATGTGGTACCGAAACAGGTATGCGATTCAGTACTTTTACATTATTATTACAAGACTTTCTTTAAAGAAAACTTGGTAATTTCCGAATTTGATATGCAGGATTATTGAGAGAATTTTATAACCATGCTTTTGGCATTTGTAATAAGAGCAGCATATACTTACCAAGTTCCCATCCATAAATGGTGTATCCCTTTCCAACTGTGTATCGAATGAAGGACTCAGCATTGGTGTAGTTCCAAGGTCCCTTTGCAGAACCACCGTGTATTGATTTTCCAGCAAGAGCATTTAATCCAAAGATAATCTTAGCTCTGAAATAAACAGTTTAAAAATGACAACTCAATAATAATATATTTTTCAAATCAACAAGCTGTATCTATTTAGTTCAAAACACACGCACTTCAGGGAGAACTGAATTTTACCCTGCTTTTTCAAAAAAGTGGTTAAGTTCATCCCATCTGTGCAATGGAAGGCACCCTTGCGTGAAACCAAACATCTCAGAAGGCTTCTTAACAAAAGGAGTACAAGGTTGGTGATTATCTTCAGTGCCATATATTAACTTATCTTGCAAACTTCCACCTAATCTAAGTTTCAAAGGTGAAAAAGCTGCAGAACGTTCGGAAGCAACAATACCTTGATAAGCTTACAAAACTCAAAGAAATTATATAATAAATTACAAAGCAATGAAAGAAATTGATTTCTGCCAATTTTTATTATTACAACAATACAGATGTAAATTATCTCTTACCTTTCACTGCGTTTAAAAAAATCTTGTTGTTGAGGTCCTGAACGAGATGACAATTAAAAAATGTATAAGATTTTGAAGTTGGTCTTGTAAACTTATTAGAACAATTAATTTAGAAATGAACGCATTAAAAACATAGCTTCAAGACTAAAAGCTCAACCTAGAGTGAATGTCAATAAACCTTGCGAGGAAAATAGAATCAATAACCGGATTATCAGGAAGAAAAATAAAAGGTACACACTATTATCTAATCATGATGTGGTGAGAATCTTATCACCTTGTTCAACACCACAAACAATGAGTAGATAATGACATCATTTTTTTAATAAAAAACAAATATAATAATTTTTTTTTCTCTTTCTGGAATTATATTTTTTGCAGCTGAGCTGAGAGATCCCAGACATTCATTCTTGATTAAAACATCATTTCCAAAACTAAAAACATCATTAAACAGAGAATGACGGCAGACAATAAAAAAACAAAGTAGCCTGAGAAAAAAAAAACATTTTAAGTTTTATGTTCTGGAAACAAACAATAAGCAGCACTCATAATTCTAAAACCCACCATCCAGATTCATAAACCATTTGAAAAAAGAAAAAAGAAAGAAAAAAAAAGCAACAATACCAGATTGAGAAGAGAAGCAAGACCCCAGCTGCACGTCCCATAGTCACATTTCTCAGGAGGCCACCAATCCAATGTTGCACACACAAAATCATCATCAATAGTTCCAACCACAGATTTGTCATCAATGACAACAGTTCCTTTCACAGCTTCATCTCCTCTCACAGTCACAGTGTTACCAAAAATGAAGCTGAAGCATGTTAAGTGCAACAACCATAAGCAAAGACCCACAAGCTGAATCCGAGAACCCATTTTCAGAATCAGCTAAATTAAAGATCTTTATCTGAGTTCATGCATCAAGTGGAGAAGAGGAAGCCACTGAGCTGGAAAGTGAAAGTTTCACTGCAGAGTCACGTGACACAGAGACAGTGTAAATGTAAAGGAGATTGGTAATTTAATGGCACCAATTTTCTTTGCTGCAAAGACTTGTCTTTACAAAAGTTTACTCTTTACTGCAAAGACAGTTCATGTATGTGTACATTGCAAGCCCAAAGATTTGGCACTTATATATATCGTGGCCTCCTCAATAAAGTATTAGTTTAGAGAGACATGTGAGTGGAGAATTTCATAAATCTTTGCATAAAAATAGTACATGACTGCGAAATTTTATTTGTTATGTGAAGTAGTGAAAATTTGTTGCTACTCATTTATTTTAAGAGTTAATCACCTGTACACTCTTGTCAGTGTAAAGTTTTTTTATATTGGTAACCAATTATTTCTTTTATTTATGTCATGTCATTGTTAAAAGTAAATGTGTTTATACTGACATGGCACATTAAAAGATATAATTAGTTGTCAGTATAAAAAAATTTTGCACTGACAGTATTTAAGTGATTAACTCTTCTTTTAATATCTTAATGCTGCACAGGAATAAATTGTATATTAGGAGATAATAGGAAAGAAAGTGGATTATGAATAATGCTTAAGGATTAAGTGTGCCTTTAAATAAAAATTGAGTAATCTACTTTAATTTTAAAGTAATAGTTTTATTAGTTTTGCATTTCATGTATATGAAAATGAAAATACACGTTCTAATGTATTAAAATAGATAACTAAATATATCCTAAATCAATCTATAGAAATTTTTTTATTGAAAAATGTAACTGGATATTTTTTAATTTTATTGTAGTTTTTAATAAAACTTCTTAGATTAATTTTTTAACAATTAATAAGACTTTTTAAAAATAAACTATTTAATGAGTGAAATTTTATATTTAATGAGTGTATTTTTTATTTTTTAATTAATAATGTAAAACAAATTAAGAAAAATGTTAGAAATGTTATTAACACTTCTATAACATTTATTCTGAATGAATAATTTGGATAGAAGATTTTATTTTTAATAGACTCCTTAATGCATGGAATGTTTTATTTATAATTTTATAATTTTTAATAATTTTAATCTATAGTATATAATAAATTAACATTTCTATAACATTTATCTATAACATCTATAATATATAACAATAGATAAAGGAGATGTTTTCTTCCCAACTATTTTTTTCTCTATTTTTTTTAGATTGTTTTATTTTTAAATGTTCTTATTTATTTTTCACAATATTTTAGAACATTCTCATTTACTTTTACAATGTTTCTCATCAACAATTATCTCTATATTCATCATTACTTACATAATTTTCCTTTTCTTTATTTTTTTTCTCCTTTTACTTTTTATTTAAATAAAAATATATTGTGACACATAGTGATAGACATCAAGATATCAAAGGCCTAAGCACCCAAGTCCAACATGGGTCAATCATCCAACAAAGGCCCAAGAGAGAAGTGAAGACCCCAACTTGGCTTAATGATTATTATTAATCCAGCTAGACTTTTGACCGTTAGCTTTGTATCTCTATTTTTCCTTAAATAAATGGTCTTTTTTTAGCTAATCGTTACTTTTTGTTTTATCTTTAATATTATTGTAAGGTCATGGGAGAGTTATGAATGGATATCTGAAGTATTATTGTTTATAGAAATTTTCTCTTTTCCTTCATCTTTTAGTTATCTCAATAGTCATAGACATGTAACAAAAACTTTTCCTTCTTAGTTATAGAAAATTTATTAGAAGTTTCGTCACTTCTGTCACTTCCCTCATCAACATGCTTAAAGATAAGACTCTTACATGGCCCAAACAAGTACAAATAGCTTTTACATAACTCAAAGAAGATGTTAAATCAAAAGATGATCTTGTGTTAAGACGATCTCAAATCCATCATGTTTTAATGATAGCAAACAAAATATTTCCTTTTGAGCAAAATCAATATATGCAAAGATATACTATATCAAACAAAAGGTGAAAAATATATATCATTTGTAAGATGAAAGAAATCAAATGAAACATGCAATTTGTCTCTATGCATTAAATGAATACTTCCAAATGAGACTAACATTAAATTTCATTAAATGTGTTATTTCTTAACAAATCGAACGAGAGAGATGTCTTGAAATCATCAAAAGTCATTAAGGAAGAAAAAGACAAAATATATGTGATGTTGGTCCCAGTAGAACACGAATCTAGAAGGGGGTTGAATAGATTTTTCACTTAGATGTCTTATTATGGTCTTTAAAAACCTTTTCTTATTCTCTTCTTTCTTATCCCAGTTACAACTAATCAAATTCAGATTACAAATCAGTAATAAGATACAAAATATCAAATATAGCATGCAATGGATCAAATACTCGTAATCCAAATTGATTTTAGAAATTACCTTCTTTCTTTTATTATTACCAAATTGCATATATTATGAACTAAATATGAACAACAATTAATAACATATAAAGAAACATTTTCTTGAAATTCTTTTTAACAAATATCACAACATGATAGCGGAATTATATCAAGAGATGAAGGTTAAAAGAGAATTACACAATGATCTATACTAGTTCAACCATACAAGGGCCTACATCCATTTTCTGGCTTAGCACACCACTAAATCAAGTCATTCCACTATAATATTCTTTACACACACCATGTACAAGCAATATTACAATCAGAATGAAAATCATACACAATCTTGAATCCTCAAGATTTCACAAACAAAGATTGTTGCATCCCATAAGAATCTACTTGAGAAAAACAAAAACCAGTCTCAAGATTTCTCTTAACTCTTCTAGAGACCCTATCTGAAAGAGTAACACAACCCAAAAGCATAAACAAAGATCTTATGATCAAATAGAATACACCTGATATGTGTAGAATGATCTTGTACAGAGATTAGCTAAAAAATTATTGAAATCTTTTAAGAACTTGTCTTCTTCAATCAATCTTTAGCACTTGTATTCTTTCTAAAATTTTTTTTGATATTATCTTGTTCTAAAATGTTTTTCAGAGTATTATTTGATATCTCTTTTAAGTTTTTGAAAAGATTTATACTTATAGAGCAAAGAGGATTTTAGCATTTAAAAATTTCATAATAGTTGTAATTTATTACCTGTGAAGGTAATCTATTACCAGATTTTTAAAACTAAAACCACATTGATTTAGAACATATGTAAAATCTACTACCAGACATGATAATCGATTAACCTGTGCTTTTTAGTAAGCATAAAACTCAATTTGTATAGTGGTAACCAATTACTAGAATGGGTAATCGATTAACCCGATACTAAAAACACTTGTTTCACTCAAAAAATGAAAAACATTGAGATACGTTTACTAAAAGACATGTTTTTGAAAAGAAACAACATAACAATAAAACACATACAAGCTAAGTCTTATGAAACAACCAATACAATATCCTTTTAACATAGGCCAAAAATATAAAATGAAGCAAACTTAAACAAAGCTACATCAAAACTAAAACTACATCTTCAAAAAGGCTTCAGACTCAACACATGAAAAGTAAAAAAGCAAAATCCTGGATATCACAAAAAAGACTCTACAAAAGACTGCTCTATGATGACTTCAACTACTCTACGTTGACATTACTTCTACCATGCTCAATTTAGAAGGAAATGATGATAAGTAACATGCAAGATCAGATAAGAGATATACGCTTTATTGAAAGACATTTAATGCTCCCATTAAATGCATCAACGATAATCTCTAGAATCAACAAGGAAGATAAGCGAAGCAACTCGTGAAGAAAATTGAAAGTTTAACTCAAAGTTGTTGTAACAGTCATCTACTTTGAAGCTACTATAAAAAGATCAAGCCTTCAAACAACAAAAGAAGTGTTGTAAATAGAGAGAGCAACATATACTGAACAGAAGTAATATGCATCAGGAAGTTTGTATTTAGAAGCATATTGAAACATACAGAGTTGAAATACTACAAAGAAGCTTTTCATTGTGAATCTTATACATAGCTCTTTGTAGATTACTTGTGTTTTCTTGAGTTTTATTAGTATCATGTGATATATTAGCTTGATTTATTCTAGCGAGTCATTTTGGTCTTAATTGTAAATTTTAGTTAATTTTCATAATGTTTTTTTGTTTTGGCATTGTTTCTTATGCAGGCTATATCCAGAGCTCTAGATATTGGATTTGGATATTCTTGGTGTCCCTGAAAAGATAAGAGAGAGTTATACAACTTCTCTTTTGGAGAAAAGGCCAATTTAGACTTTAAGTAACCCAAAAATATATTACAATGTTGCAGCCTGACACATTATTTTATTTTTATTTTTAGAATGTAATATTAGGATTTGTTTAATGATATAATTAATTGATTTAGTGGGATGGACCTTTAATTACTCTGATTAGACCCATTAGTGTAGTCTATAAATAAGTGTAACACATTTACACTTGACATCGTATACCTTATTTTTTAGAAATTGTGTTTTTTTCTCTTAAAATAAAAGTTTCTCAAAATTCTTTCTTTTTCTCTCTCTCTCTCTCTTGGCTTTTCTCTCTTGCTTAAATGAATTGGTTTGTTACAATATGATTATGATGCGTGGCTAGTTTGTTAATCGATTCTAGGTTTCAAAAACTACGGTAAAACTCGAGTAATTGATATTTTTACCAAACAAATTCTCTTTTTCTCTTCTTTTCTGTTTTAGGTTTAATTTTCATTCTTCTTGGTTGTGATTTTTTTTTTTGGATCTAGAACAAAGATTGAATATTAACATTAGATCTAAATTTGGATTTAGATTTAGATCTAAAATAACTTAAATTGCCTAATTTAATCGTTCATCGTTCTTGAGTTTTATTAGAATTGTGAGATTGCGATTATGTTTCATGTTTTGATGGAATTCATAGATCTATATATTTTTTTTTATTAAGTTTGTGTTGAATAAGGTTGATTGAGAATTTGAATTAATTGTTGAACTATGAAAATTTTACCGTACAAGTTGAAACCTTGAATCGATACCGATTAAATTTTCAATTCTTAATTCTCTATTTTGTTGATTAAATATTATTTTGAAATATTAAATCCCCTTGGTAATTTTGTGTGATAAAATACAAATTAAATTTACTTATGTCCTTGTGAAGAATGACCTAAGTTATTTTCTGAATTGCAAATTTTTATGGGAAATCTAGTTTGC